CTCCCTGTAATATGCATTCCTCCAATGAGAATGGAGATGTTGATTGCCACTGTCAAGAAGGTGAGAAAAGTTGCAGCCTTATGAGGATGCTCTTTCCAAGAACATCGTCAACATCGGTCCATCCCTCCTGAACAGACTTCAGTCCTCTCTGTGCCCTGTGTTGCATGTCCACAGCAGCAGGATACCTGCGTGAGACCTCACTATGAATGGGGATAATTGTGAGTAAAGATTTGTTTCTGTGGGAATAGCTTGCATTGATTGAACTTGCTCATGACTGCATTCAAAGGACACGGTAGTCATTAAGAGTGGAGACTGAGGCAGATAAGGGCCAGGGGAGATGAGATGGAGGGACAGGAAGAAGAGGGAGGAAAAGCTGAAATCAGGATGTAAAGTAAACCAATACCTTAATTAATAATAAATTTTAAAAATTAAAAACTGAGGTGGAGATTTAGAGGGAGACAGCTTTGGCCTTTACAGGAACACTCACAGATATGTTCTCACCATCATATGCACAGAAAACATTTACACATACCACAAATAATGATAGTAAACTAGGATGGAATTTGCATTTACTAGGTGGCTGCCACAGGTATTAGTATAACTTCCCATTTCTATTTTTCATTTTTTTCAGATCAAATTCAAATAAGTCAGAACTGATTTGTTCTTTCACCTGTTAGGAATGAAAAAAGTAAGTAAGTTTCAGTTTGAGTCTGCAACAGTACAACACACTGTCATAAATTTTATAGCATTTTTTTATCTGCTGGTATTTTTTGTTATAAAAGGGAATATATTCAAAATATTATGAATATATTAGTAATTTTTCAATTGCTTATAAAAAATTATATGCTAATTATAAACACTGCATATGAAATTTTGTTTCTAAGCTAGTAAAAGAAAATTTGGTGACTGAGCTGGGTGTGGTGGCTGTAGCATTTAATCCCAGCATTCAAGAGGCAGGGAGATCTCTGTGAATTTTCTGCCAGTCTGTTTAAAAAAGTAAATTCCAGGACAGGTACCACTACAAAACAACAACAAGAACAACAACCAGCCCCTCCCCCCATAACCCAACCAAACGAATTAGGGGATGCTGAAGGCAGAATGCTGGGGTTCTCCTAGCCCATCTGACTGTCATGCTTGTTCCATCTTGTTTTCTCTCAGACCTTGATATTCCTGCTTGGTCATGTGTCACTGTGATGGTACCAAAATGCAGTGCACTTCTATTGGCTTGGCTAGATGGGACACATGAAAGTGAAGGGGTTGGGCACATGGTGGTAGTGGACAGGCACGATGCAGTGGCACTCGCAGGGTAATCATCATGCTCTTTTCAGGCACCAGCAAGGTGTGTGTCCATCCCAGTCTTCAGTTTCTCCTGAATCAGGACATTATCCTAATAGAAACGGATTCCTTTTATGCCCACCCCCTTTTCGTGATTCTGGGGACAAACCTTGAATGGGCTTTGTGATTCTCAAGCTCGGTGATGAGGTTCTGCTTGGTAGGTTTTGTTCAGCCCTTTGTTACCAAATCTCAGGGAACAAGTGTTAGTGATTTTACTTGGAACATAGCTCAGCACACATGACCAATGTTCACCTCACTGTAACCAACGACCTGTTTTGTCAGTGTGAAAAAGACATGACCATTTTTCAGGTGCCAAAGGCAATGAGGTGCCAAAGGCAGTGAGGTCATGCCGAATATTTTGTTCTGTTTGCTTTTAGTGAAGCTTATTTAATTTGGCATGATGTTTGAAAAGCCACAATTTCCTTTGTTCTATGCCCTCATAATAGTATGTACGTGTGTGTGCATTTGGTGTGTATTGCAATCTTCAGAATTTCTTTGTCCAACCCTCGGATCACAAACCCTGAACATTACTCCACTTCAGCACTTTGTGAAAGTGCCCTGCTCACAGGTAACAGGGCCACCTGCACAGAAAGAATATCATCTGTGGCGCTGGGGCCAGCCCTACTCTTAGACCTTGCTACCTCCGTTAGGAGAAGGACCGCCTATCTGCACACTCTCACTCAAGACCCAATGGCCCCTGCAGCTAGTGGCCAGAGCCTATGTCCTGGTCCTCTATGCATCAGCTTCTCATAAGCATGCTCAGAGCACCTTCAGTAAACTGCCAATACTGAGAAGGCTCTGAAATACTGAGCATGTTCCCTCATACTTACCCTTCAGGTCCGGATCCTGTGGATGAGGATGGTCATGTGGCAGGCAGTCTCCATCAGCCCTGGCCTTCGCAACTAGTAACCTAGGCAACCACCCACCCACACTCAATCCTGTCAGGAAAATCTCTTGCTCTCCCAGGTAATTGATTTTATCTGGCACAGCAGTTTCACCTCCGCCATCCCCTCCCTCCCAGAGTCCTCACAGGGCCTCAAGCTGAGTCACGACATTCAAGAAACACATATCTTCACCCTCTCCTGACAGGAAATCAGAATCGTGTGGTGAGGAAGAGTATATCTCTTTCCAAGGGGCCGTGAGAGCTTGGCATGAGGCAGTCATAGAGGAAAATCACGTTGCACTGATGAAAGGTATTCGAGTGGTGTCACTATGACAACAATCAAGTCATAACTGGAGTCCCTCTAGCACCAGCCTCTGAAAGGTGCTTGCAGGTTTGAGTGCAGCAGAGCAACACACCCAAGGCGCTGAACAGTGCTCATGAAGATGCTGCCTGCTACCTTGTGAGTGTGGGGAACAAATGGTGGTCTTCCCATCCAGGAAACAGCCCACCGAACAGTGTGAGGCAGACAGAGACTGCGAGGGAGCACACTGTGGTTGGAGGCTTCACGACTGAGGAAGAGGGGTGGTAGAATTTGCAGGTGGGTAGATTCAATTAATTAAAATTGTACAGCTCAGGGCTGGATCCATGTGGGCAGGTACATTGTCTGCCATAAGGGCATGAGGGTGTGACGTTGGATCCCCAGGGCTCAACAAAATCCAGGCCTGGCAGGGCACAGCCACAATCTCAGTGCTTCTAGGCAGAGAGAAGAGGTTTCCTGGGACTAGCTATCAAGCTGATCAAGACAAACTGGTGAGTTCCAGGAACAAGAGACATGTCTCAAAATCATGGTGGAGAGCAACAGAGGAACATACCCTGAGTGATTCTCAGACATCTACCCACACAGGCATGGGTTCCTATACACACACACACACACACACACACACACACACACACACACACACACGCTCATACAGCACAAATACTATGGTGTAGCTCTACCCCTGGAGCGAGAGGAAGAAATGCAATTAAAGGAGGCAAAGTCAGTAGTCGTGGTCAAATGAGAGCATCGACAGCACTCAAATAACCAAGGACAAAACAAATGGGGCTATCTGGTCCCCACAGAAGACCACCCTGTGTGGGAAGCAAAGAGCATCTGGGAGGGCTTTCGTGGCCACTCCTATGCCTGTGACAGAGTTCTTGGCCAAACCCTCAGTGTTGGTATCCAGATGAATTAAGTTTTCCAGGGACTGGGGCAATGGGGCTGGCAGCTGAGCCTGGGCCATCTTACCAAAAGTTCCTGCATCAACCAGGACAAATAGTGTCACAGGGGATCCTGTTCTTGGTTGAGGTGCCTCACTTGAGTACACATGGAGGTGTAACTTAGCCACATGGTTCCATGGCCCTCCTCCTATTAGGACATCTCTCTTTGAAACTTTCCCATTTGTGTGCTCTGAAGAGGGAAAGGTAGCGATGCTGGAGGCAGAAGGGAGATCAGAAAGACTACGAGATAGGGGAAGATGTTATAGGAGGAAAACAGGACACCTATTACAGAGAGGGACTGTTAAAAAACTAAGAAAAAGAGGCATGGCTTTTTCAATGGGAGAATGATTGCCAAGTAACCAGTCAAGCTAGAGTGTAATAGAATTTTAAGTCTTCACATAGTCAGTAGCATGGCTTAGACAATGAGTTACAAAACTCACAAACAATGGCCAGCTCCTCATTTGAACAAATAAGGTGTCTCCAGCATTAGAGTGGAGATCACTACACAGTTTCCGTACGTTTCAGAATCTCTGACAAAAGCACTTGCTAACATTCCAGTACACATTAACAACAGGAGGCAGGTGCTCATAGAAGAGAACCAGTTTTCACAGTTGGAACAGGGGATTTCATGCTGTCTGGTACAATCACAGGACACTGTAGACTTGAAAAGAGCAAATCACTTCCATGTGGGGAAGTTGAAACACACATGTGCACCCTGACATGTCCCTCTGCTCAGACAGAGACAGAGGTGATGCCCTGTACAGAGAGACTGCAGGTCAAGGGCCATAAAAGAATAAGGATGACAAACAGCACAGAGAGTGACAGGTCTCACACATGTTCCCTCTGTTACTCAGTAAAGAGGCTCTGCTTCTCAGGGTCAAATGTCCAGGGACAGCGGTTATCCTGCCATAAGCCTTTACCCACATGGGTATCAAGGTATCCCATAATGGCTGGCAGGAAGGTCTTCACCAGCTGTCTCTGTCATTCAGAGGCTGTGCACTGGGCACTGCTCCAGAGCGATCATGATCATGATTTCAATTCAGTCCAGCGAGTAGCAAGATAAAATGAGCCTGGAGGTTAATAGCAGGTTCCCTTTAAGCATACATGGCATTCCTGTGTCTAGTACAGAGTGGCTGCTAGGCAGAAACCTGGAACAATGGCCAACTTCTCATTTGAATAAGCCCTGTCTTGTCTCCTCCCCAACCCCCTGTGGCCCTCAGGCAGGTAAAATGCTGTCCTTTTTATCAGTTCAACAAAGGATGCATTCTGCTGTTCCCGCTGCTCTCTTTGGATGATCAGTGTCTTTCAGAGCTACAGAACACAGCACACACAAATCCCCAGTACTACCACTAATAAACCCATTTAGAGGACTTTCCACTGCTGGCCCTTGACCAGAAAGGGAAAATCTGAAGGCCAAATGCTCCCCTGTCCAGCTTCTAGTCAATAGTATGTGTATAGCCAGGCCACGGTTATATACAGTGTCATTACAGGAAATCATGGGACATTCACCAGTTACCACCAATTTCTGAGCTCAAACTGATGCCACCCAAAACTTCCTTCACTACAGTCCTTGCCCCCATGCAGACTGTCCATGCTGCCCCCAGCATGCATACCAGCAGACATACTTGAGCTTCTCATCTCTTTGCATCCTCGTCTGAATGAAACTATGGCTTTCCTGAACCGCTTGTGTGCCTTTATTTTATTGACCAGATTAAGAGCCCGAGGGAAGGAGTGGGAAGGGGGAAGGCACACAGTTCCAAACCCCCACGTCAAGGTCTGCTATGACCATTAACTGAGTGGACACATGAGAAATTCCACCAGGGAGCCACCATTAACCACCATGGTTAAGGAGGAAAACTTCTCTTCTTCCACATGGGTTCACACCACTGGATGTACACTGGGTAGGTAGTTACATTGGGTAGGTAGGTGCCTTAAGCCTGCATTCTCTTGCTTCAGTTTCTGGAAGATGCAAGTCAATCTCTCTCTCTCTCTCTCTCTCTCTCTCTCTCTCTCTCTCTCTCCCTCCTTCCCTCCCTCTCTTACCTGGCACATGCATTTCATAGTACCTAGTGATTCCTAGTGGGGAATCACTCAATAAATGCACATTGAGAAGGCAAGTGGAAGACATATATACTATGTATGTCTTCTCTACATACACACATATACATAGATATACGTATATAAACATATATACACATGTTGTGTTGGTTCTATTTGACAAACTTGGGAAGGAGCAGTGCTGATTTCCTAGGAAAATCAGTGAAAACCCTCAGTGTGTGAATCACATCATGGGCATTCAGGGATCCCTGGTACCATACCCAAAAAGGCATGCTAAAAGACATAGGCAGCAACGTGGGGGCCTTTCCTAGGACAGTTCCCATCCTAGCACAAGTGCTGGGGCTCATCCAAAGGCAGCTGACTGCCTTGACGTCAGAAGAGTCCAGGCTCTTGAGCTTTAAGTGCAGCACTGTCTGAATCCTTTTTTCACCTCCATCTTTTGGGGGCCAGACAGACCTCAGCCTGCTCCTGCCCTCTACTTGAGCATCCTGACACTTTCCTGCTGCCTCTTTAGCTGGCACATCTCCTCTGGTTCCTGTTGCTGCAGAGGCCCCTCCAGGAGGGGGCCTGGTCTGTTGGCTCCCAGGCTGAGGGTGAGGCCACTGAAGCCCTGCACCAGCATTTCCCAGGACGGAGGGTTGGGAGCTGCGTTCCTCTCTCCACTCACCCCAGCACTATTAAGCACGTGGCCCTGGCAGAGGAGCTGATTCTGAGATCTGCCTCCTCTGACATCCCTTTCAAGCAGGTAAGGTGCCATGTGATCCCGGTGCCAGCGTCTTGAGTGCCTCAGGAAGACCTTCTTCCTCTGAGGAAAGCCCTGCTTCTCCCAGTACTGCTGCCACAGGGCCTTCTTCTCCCTGGCCTGCTGCTGGAGCAGCCCCTGTGACAGAGGGGCAGGGACACCTGAGCCGGGGCTGTGGCTGAGGCTCAGCCCACTGAGCCCCACACTTAGCTTTTCTGAGGAGGAAGGCTGAGGGAAGGCTGAGGCCTCTTGGGAGCTTGTCACAGTGGCCATGCAGGAAGGCATAGAAATCAACAGTGGATCCCATTTCTGCAGTGGATCCATGATGGGGTCTAGTCTGAGCCGGACGCCACACTGAGCCCTGGTTCCAGGAGGAAACGTGAAGGTGATAGCGAGGAGGAATGTGTGCAACCAGGAAAATCCAGACTGTAACAAGAGGTGAGAAGAGAAAAAGAAAGCCCGTGATTATTCATCTCACTTTCTCTGTCCCTCATCTTCAAAGTGGGGCCACCTCCCAGGCGTCTTCCGAGGCTTACTCAAGATGATACATGTCCAGAGCGGTTAGCACAGGGCACGACACACCGGCAGCATTTCCTGCATGGCAACTGGTATTCTTTCTCTTGCTTCAGCTCATGCAGAAGGTGTCATTTGGTGAATCCCAGTGATTCTCACCTCACTTCCCCCAACTCTCAAAGGCAGCTCTACTGTAATGAATGCACAGTGACAGCCATTCTTCCTAAGGGCGTTTACATATATTCAAAGGGATGAATTTTATAGGCTCACAAGGATTTGTACCCTGGGAACTCACCCATCTCTGACTTTCATGCTGTCCTTGGACCTGTTCGATCACCTTTGTGAAGTCTTCCATGACATGCCCTGAGATCATAACCAAACCTCCCTCTTTGTGATAAGAATGAAATGATTGTGCTGGTAAGAGACTCTGATTCTGAGGTGGCTCTTTTCTGTGTACCAACATGCAAGCTTAGGCAAATGCCTTAAAGTGAGCTGCCCCACCATTCATCATTGGACATACATTTCCCAATGTGGTACTCAGAGCGGACTACTGCTCACCAATTGGAGTATGGTCTTGCCTTTACCTCGTGTGTTCGTTGTTCTACTCAACAACTGGCCTGTGGTGACCACTGCTGAGCTCCATTTTGGCACTGTGCAATTCCAGGTTCTTTGTTCTTCCACTTGTGCCTGCAAATTGCTTCCCAGAAGCATGAGTGACAGTTCCAAAGTGCTGTGTTGCAAAAAGGAGTCCCCTCACCCATGGAAGAAGCAAGCAACATGGAACACAGGTAGTAAGACAAAGGGGAACCTAAGGATCTGGGCATGGAAGGCATGAGTGACAGAGGGTGGTGGCCACTCACAGCTGGGAACATTAGAGTCATACCTCTGCCTGCAGATAGCAGTAAGTTAGAGTGGACAAGCTGTGTCTGGAGTCACAGTGTGTCAGGCACTGTAGACCTCTACATCCCTGAAGCAGATATGCTCAGTCCAGAGAACTAACCATCCCATATTCCCCTTGTATAAAACTGACTTCAGTTGTATTTCTCACACTGTGCCTTGCATTCCAGAAAAGATGACAGGAATAACACAGATCACAGCTGTGCAACCGAGGGGTGAAAATTCCATGGACATGCCTGATGAAAGAGAGGCCGCTTAGAGGCAAGTTAGTAGCGGTCAGTCAAATCGCTTCCTGCTTCTGTGAGATGAGTGTTGAAAGACAGTCAGAGAATCATGGAGGCTGAGGCAGCCAGTCTACAGGAAGGCTCCCAAAAGTTTCTGGGGCATGAGGCAACACAAGAAGAAAAACGGTTTCCATGCTTGATAAACCTGTGTTGGTGGTGGTGGTGGGGTTTCAATGTAAGCTTGCTGTTGCATGGCAGTGAAGAAACTGCTTCCGAGCAGTAGATAGTAAATAATGACCCTTGGCAGCACTCCTACTTAGCTGTCATTCAGTCCTCCTGCCTCCTTAGGTGGAGATTGAGGAAATGCACACAAAGAGGGACATTAATCATAAAAGGAGGTGGGGAGAAAGAAAGTTAGCATGAGAGACTGTACGTTTGTGTATAAGAAAGAGGAAGAGAGGCAGAGTGAGAAGAGTCTGTCACTGTTCTTCAAAGTCATAAGCAAAGACACTACTGCTTCCTTTCACCTGCTCTGGACTTTGCTTTTCCATGCAGTCACAGAAGAAGGTCCCTGGCTGGCATGGCTGCACAGTCACTGTCCCTTCCACTTCCCTCTGCTCATCCAACTACACACAGTAGCCAGCATCACAGCATGTATAGCTTAATGATGGTACCTGGCAACTGTGGATCCTTAGCACAGTGGCTTCCTGGAATATGCCTTCCCTTTGATGATCAAGGTCCTCCCCTCATGTTATTCAGAATAGCTCACCCAACACATCCTTCTTCATTCCTGGAGCCAATGCTTCTGTAATGAAATCAAGTTACTCCTCAATTGCAATTCGAAATTCTACAGGGTACAGATCTGCGCACAGGCATTTTCTCTCTACCTTCTTACCAGGGCTACAAGGTCCCACCTGTCAGAAGTGGCAGCCATCCATTAACGTTCCAACCTGCAAAACCCTGATGGTTTTCAGGGTCTTTCATGTTATATAACCTTACACAGAGGAAGAGGCAGGCTCTGCTGAGTGGGAATGAGGGATGCTGAGCACTCTCTGTTCTGAGCATTCCTAAAAGGTTTTGGGAGAGGGGAGCCATTTTTGTGGGGGTGCACATGGGGAAACCTAATCTTTGTGGAAGGCTGGTGACACCATCATTCTTGCTGTGGGACAGGCTCCTGTCCACACTGGACACCACATTTCCGGTGAGGGCTCCCACAGTTCTCCTTGTGTTTACTAAGTGATATTCATGTGGAGCTTCCAAGTCCTCTAGGGCCTGAGCTATGAATCCTCGTGGATCCTTCTTTTCTGGGGAGCAAAGTGTTGGATGTTGTTACACTCACAAATGAGTATTGATTTGGCTTCAGTCTTGATCCATAAATGAATCTACAATCTGTCTCAGATCAGGTAGCCAAGAAAGCCAACAAAGCAAGCCCAGGTTAACAGGGAAGCTCCCTCAGAGAATGACCTTTCCATTGCTACTCGGAGGAGGACTTGGAATCCTCTGGGATAAAAGTGGGGAAACCAACCTCCAGGTAAAGACACACTGAGGTTGAGGGGTTTGAGGTGGGAGCAGGATATCACAAGATGAGCCTAAAATGGTAGCCACTGACCCTCATTCATGAAGCAAACATTGTGGCAAAAGGGTAAGCATTTCTGTGCACTGCCTTTACAGCAGTGCCTAGGCTTGTGTGACACCTGAGAGCATCCCCCGTCCCTCACTATATCCCTTCACTTGCACTTATGCCTTGCACTATTCAATGCAAATGGATTCTAGCAGATATTTCTGTAAGTGCCCTACATGGTTATGCACCCATTCTCACCTGCAGGCTATGTCTGTACACTGTTTGCCAATTGGCCTGGATTTCATGCAGCCAAGGCTGTCCTCCACCTTCAGATCCTTCTGCTCTGCCTCCCAAGTACCTGGATGAGAGCCTTGCTGATATCAATACACCTAGCTTTAAACATTACCAAGGCATCTAGGGTCTTGAGCTGAAGACTGAGAACACAGCTCTCCAAGTGTTGGGGAATATACTCACACTGCCCACTACTGGATTCTTTGTTCTCTGCCAAAATGACACATTTCTCAGTGGGAACAAGGACATTAGGACCGATGCGGCAAAGCCTGCCATAGTACACTTGACCTGAGCACTCTTCTTTAAACTCTGATAAAGATTCCAAAGTTTGATCTCCAGTAGTCCCACATATTGCACCCCAGATTTGACCTTTGCAGGTCCTTGACACCAGCTGGTTCCCTCCAAGTGACTGATCAAGACAAATGAATCAAGAATGTCTCTTGCCCCAATTTAAGAACCTCATAACTTGCCTCCTATTACTGCCCGAGTCAATGTGATGTGCCACACCCAGTGGCCAATAGTGGCTTTTCGTGTGATGTGTCACATCCCAGTGGCCAATAGTGGCTTCTTGGGCAGTGCTCCAGCTTCACACCTTGTGGGTACTACTGACTATTGAAATCAGTGACCCAGCTAGAGCTTAAACTAGGCTGATGCCTTCCTGATTCATCTTCCCTTTGATGATGCCCACACACCTAAGCAGGTCTTCATTATGGAGCTTCAGACTCTGTCTTTGACACATCTAGATGCATGGATTCTGCATAAAAATGCTGTGTAATCAGTCTGCAGCACTAAGCAAGCACATCCCATAATATACTTGCACCCAACTGCAGAGCGCTTCAGAGCATACCCAAGGACCACAAATTGCCCACAGCTGTATCCTCCTACACACAGGCCTTTTCACAGTGAGATGCTGCCAGTCAGTGCAAGAGACTCTTCCCCTTTGAGGAAATGTACCCAAGGCCACAAATGTCAAGTCCACTTCAACTACAGGGCCTGTGGAATGTGAGAGACTCAAGATTGACCATGCTGAAGATGACTGGAAGTTAATGAGCCTGTCCCAGGTTCAGGGATACCACCACATAAAGCGTTGTCAAAGAGAATGAGTGACACCGAAGCTTATGATCGCATCTGTTTGGATCCCTTTGCTGAGTCACCAGCTTTTTGTCTCTGTGTGCTACGGTACTGCCCTGCATATTTCCACTAGCAGGAAAGAAACAGCCAGTCTGATTGCATACTTACACTGACTCCTGAGGGTGTAACCATAGAACATATCTTCCATTCCAGTTATAGACATTTTACTGCAGTTTCAATTTATTTGGGTATGTTCACTTTTGTCTGTATGGGGTATTGAACCTAGAGCCTGGTATATAGTAGGAATATGCTACCACTTGGCTATATTTCCAACCTTCTTTTTGACATTTTCTTTTCACAAAGTCTCACAACCCTACATAGGCTTTTCTAGAAATCACTCTGTATCTCTGGCTTAGAGCCTGTGATCCTGCCACCTCAGTTTCCCTGCTAGCTGGGGTTATAGGATTACACCAGCACGCCTGTGTTTTTGTTGCTATTTGAAGACAATAACTCAGACCACTTCCTCTTTCACAAGAAGAAACAAGCAGCAGTCCTTCTCCCCTGAGATGGCCATCAATTATCTGCTCCTCATCTTAAGCTTCATTTATCCTGTTCGGCTCCACAGTGTCTTGGGAATTAGCGACTAATTGTTATGTTGTCTGTCACAGGAAAATTCAGTGCAAAAAACCACAGTGGCCACTAAGTGTGGTTAGGCCAGCCAGTCAGGATTATACAAGTAATGCACCGCTCACAAAGGTCAAGAAGGTGTGCCGTGTTTACTCACTTGGTCCCTAAGAAACTCTTAATTTAAGGAAACAAACAAACAAAACACACACAGAGAGTCACACACACACACACACACACACACACACACACACACAGTCACACAAAAGCAAACAACAGTCTGAGAAGCCTACACTGGGAAGAATGCTTGCCTTCTACCCTACAGACTTGGTTCATGTGATTGACCATTTATTTCTATCAAAAAAACATCTCGGCCACAATCCCTGACAACTGGTCTTAAGATGCACAGGAGGAGTTAAGTGTATAATCACATTCAGCTCCAAAGGATGCCTCACTCAGTAGGGACACAGGTGACCTTGAAAATGAAAAAATGATGGTGTAGAGAATGGAATAGTTCACAAAACTCAATATTTAGGGTTTGATGGACAGCTCAAAGTAACCTTGGCTTCAAGTCTGTTTTGTGTTGTGATCAGGTAAAAGGAAAACGAATTCCCAAGAGAATTGTTCTAAGGATTATGTCATTCAGGAGCAGGTACAGGTAAGAAGGAAAGATAGCATGAGGTCTGTGATATGCAGGTGACTGTCACTCATCTCAAGGGAAAATCTCAAGTAAAACCAGTGCCATCTTCCAGTGCCCAGGAGAGAATCCAAAGAGGATGAGTCAGGAACTCTACATTAATGCACATGATAGGGCACTAAGGAAGAAATACACATGTATACAAGCTACTCATTGCCTCATTAGGAATTGTCCAGTAGTCATTCAATGGGTACAACATGGCCACCAGAGAGTTGGTTCCTCAAATTCCTTCTTGTTCAGTTCAGTCAAGATATCCCTCTCGTGTGTGGCTGTGAATAAACAGGGACATCGTGGCTGAAAATGCCAAAAGGCTCCGATGTATCAAGTAGTAGTTGTGTATGAAAAACCATCAGAAGAATGGGAAATCCAGGCCAGAGTTCTTGATTTGAAGATGGAAAGTAGAAGTGAGGAGGAGGGAACTGGATAGAGAAAGGGAACTGAAAGAGAGAGTGCGAAAGAGACAGAGACAGACAGACACAGAGACAGAGACAGACAGACACAGAGACAGAAAGACACAGACAGAGACAGACAGACACAGAGAGAAAGACTTTTCCTGGATTTCTATTGTCCACTCATATGGGATGCCCTTATCCTTGTAGTGGGGTCACTCAGCTCAAAACTGTCAACATGTACAATGCCTAGGAGGGTTCATCTGCAGCTCTATCTCTTAGAATGAACCCAGCTATGACTAAAACAGTCGATTTGCATTAGAGGAAAAGGAGCTTGGACAAGGTGGAAGAGATCTAGTTTTCTTGGTTCTGCTTCTCACCAGTTATGAGCCTTAAGCTCATCATGGACTCCTGTCACCTTTTTCAGGACCTTATTGGACAGGCGAGAAACTGGCTACATGGTTCCCTCAATGCCTACAACTTGCAAAGCTCACCCTACTTCTCCCACAACAGGTGATGTCAGGAAAAAAACATCTTGGGATTGAAGCATATAACAGGCTGTTCTTAGAGGTAAGTTAGGGCCTTACTCGCTGAACACAGGCCTGGCTCACCCTGGTGAAAGATCCTTTCCTTGTTCTAGGTACTTAAGTAGAAAAGGATCAGTCTCTCCCATGCTGGTCTAAAAAAATACTTGTGCTTTATGGGAGGGACAGTTGTGCAGGGCAACATTCCACCTCTCCAGTCAATAATGAGATCTTTAATATAGGCTGATTATAAACAATCAAATAACTTGCAGAAGACAGTAAGACATAATGCGTTTACTAGGACAAAAGATTTATACTGCTGAAGCAGGCAGATTTGTGTGAGATGGAGGCATGCTGGAGCCACACTGGCAATCCCGTTCAGGCATGCTCACATGGTAAGACCCTGACTTAAAAAAATTCAAAAATATTTTAGGAAAGGCCAGACACAGTGGCACAAGCATTCAGTCCTAGCATACAGGAGGCAGAGGCATGCTGAACTTCATGTGTTTAATGCCAGCCTGGTCTGCATAGAGAGCTCCATGCCAGCGATGTCTGGACGTGACAAGCGTGCATGTGAGTGTATGTGTGTGTGTCCATGCACAGCACACAAACACACAAATGCATGCAGGTGTGCACAGGCATTTGTGTATTCCTTTTTCAGGAGGGCAGGGGGACCACTTTCTAGAGTCAGATCTCCTTCCACCCCATGGTACCAGGGCTTGCACTTTGCTTGTCAGGCTAGTTTAAAAGTTACATATGACAAGCAGCCTGCTGCAGATTCCACTCTGCAGTACTCTCCTTAGGTATTCCTGAATTGCACTGGGTGTGTAAAGTTTCAGATTTTAGATTCCTTCTCCTCTTTATTATTCTGTTTTCACTTTAGTGTTACAGAGAATTTGTTAACCAAGTATCAGTCCACTATCTCCTGCCAAGAACACTAACATCTTCTCTTGAAGACCTGGTTCTCCAATTTTGGAAACACCAGCAATTAAATTATCTCTTTAGCAATGTGGGTGTATGAGTGTGTGTGTGTGTGTGTGTGTGTGTGTGTGTGTGTGTGTAGCACACAGATAAGTATATGTATACACATATACATATTCTTGGCAGGGCATGAACTTTATTTATAGAGAATTTGCTTAGCAAACAGATCAAGGCATTTTCCTCCAGTAAATGGGAAAACACATCATAGCCCTTACAGCCACAAGACAGATGCCTTCTGATTCCTTGATCACTGAGAAAGTATGTACATTATTCAAGTTCCTCCACAGGTTGGGTTGGCTGCTCAGTATGACTAACCATGGGGACAGATTTGTCATTAAGTGGCATTGCTTGTTCTTCTAATGGCGTTTCAGCTCACTCATCACAAGCCATATTAACTGTGCTGATGGTTTTGCCTTTACTCGGGTCTGCCAGGGCTGGGCAAGCAATGTTCCACCGGCCCGGCACTTCCCAAAACTCTGTATGGATTTTGATGATGTGAGATATCCTCTTCCCTATGAAAGACTTGTTAGACAATGGACAGTCACCCCACCCAGCATTACAATACCTCTTAAGTCAGATGTCATTTGCAATAGCTTAGACTTTATCAATGTTAAACATAAATAGATAGAACTGTAAGAACAGTACATAAGTTGTGAATATCCAAATTTTGTGCTTAAGCCACAACATTGCTATGCACATCTATGACAGAATTACAAGTGCTTTCCACAAGGTCTTAAGGGCACACACAGGAGCAGCAAAGAAAGAATGCTTCTCCCTTGGAATACAAAGAATGCAGTTACCAGACATGGGCTTCAAGTTCACAGCCTTCATGGGCTGACGTTTGCACCAATATAGGTAGCGACTGATTTCTGGAGGACATCTCCCTTCCGAGGAGTGTCTTGCTGTTCATTTCAAGATGAGACCAAGCCACTTGCATTTTCCCTTCTCCCCAGCGCTTGTCACTAATTTTGTGCTGGATTGTTCATTGTTGTTTATTATTTCACGTTTTAAAGAAAAAACACACACTCTTTACCAGGCCACTTAATTTTCCAAAGGAAACACATTTTAAAATGACATTTAACATGGGGACCCTAAATGACTGACGCAGAAACCAACCTGAACTGGACATACAATCCACTCAGTCTCAAGAGAAGTCTGCATGTTGCTATTGTAACATAAATGGGATGCCCGACCTGACAGAAAACTTATCACACTGTCATGAAGCACCGAGTGGTGGAGCAAAACAGCAAAAGGGTACAAATGCCATTGACCTCTTACTGAAAATACAGACAAAAGCCAAGACTGCTTTGTGTGAATGACATTGCTTTTTATAAACAAGAAAGAAGGAGCACCTAAGCCATCATGTCGGAGATTGTCCTCTCTGCTGTAGGCTGTAGAAATGAGCCTCCTTCAAGACTTGGTTAATGTGGGAATAAGGACCATCGTCTTGGTACAGTGCATAGTCCTCGTGGGAGAACTCAGGGTTATTGGAGTTAAGTTCAGCATTGTTCTGGTTTAAGCTGCTCTCTGGTACACTCTCTCGCTTGGGGTTATTGATGCTGCTGAGGTTCCTTTCATTAGCACTGCTTGACGACTGGAAGGAGAAAGACAGAAGGAGGATGGCTATTATGATACTGTCATCATTTCCTGTTCAGCTTGAAGAATACTAGCATCACATTCTACAAAAGGCTTCACAGTCAGTAAAGTGCAACCACGCAGGCCATTCATTCTCTCTTTGCAGCAGCCCTATCTGTCAAGCTGGGGTCACCGGTACCCACTTGACAGAACAGGAATGATGTCTCCAAAGATGAGGCCAAAGGCCAGCCCATAGGAAGTGTCAGGGAGAAGGTGCAAACACAAGCTCTTTTACTCCAATCCCTTCACATATACTCTGGCCCTGCTTGTACCATCCATTCCGATTACCTGCTTCAGGGATATATGCTCCCACCCTCCAGGAGAAAGCAGCAATCAGTGCTGCAGGATGCTGTACAGACTGGGACCAAAGCAAGCAAGATGGAATACAGGCCCAAGTGCCAATGTGGCAAAGAAATGATGGGAACCACTCTGCTCACTCAGAGGCGAATACATGCATACATACAAATGACAGGACTTTCCCTACGTACTCGTGAGAGTGGACAGATGTGCTCCTCTTGTAGGACTGATATCTTAAAATGCCCACTCAGCATTTCTGGTAACTAACACCCATTTGTTCTCCTATTTGTAGGTTTGGTATAGTGTGTCTCTTTGTGATCACTCATTAAACATTAAATTGTCTTTTCTTAAAATAACTTCACTCTATCATGTTGGTGATATTATGTGGGATTCCCCAAAAAAAGTGTCATATTTTGGAATTTTGTAGGCTAGGGATGTGACTCAGTGCTAGAATTCTTTCCTAGCATGCTTGGGACCTTGAGTTCCATGTCCTAGGGCATAGGAACACCAACTTGTGCACACACTTGCCAACTTCTTGCCTCTAATCTTAAGACTATCGAAGGAGAAGGATGTGGTCACAAGGACCCTCATGTGAATTAAGTTTGAACAACATTGGTATTGTATGACCTAGAAGTCCACCATTCCTCAAGGTTGCTTTAATAATGACTGAAACCACGACACATCAACATTCACAGGTCATGTGGAGCTCACCAGCTCACTACATCACACACAAGTATCAAATGACAGTACGTACCCAATGAGATTCATGCATTCAACACCATCCATGAAGGACAGAGAAGCCAAACGAATCTGTGTGTGAAAACCCGGCAAGTAGCTATCAATGAATTTAAAGGCTTCATGTGTGAAAGAGGTCTCAAAGGACACCAGAGAAACTATATCCCACATAAAGCCTCCAGTACGAAAATGCAGATATATCACTTTTAAAATATGGTTTGCTTGTCAACGCCAAAAAACCAGGTGTGCTGTCACAGTGAACCAAAACATCTGGTACACACTCTGGTTTCCTGTAGGGAGATTTACTTTCTTGGTTGTTTGATGTGGGTTTTGTTTTTTGCTGGACAATATTCTGAACGATGTAGCAAGTTGGGGGGGGGGGAATCATCATAAATGACAGCATACTTGGTTTACACCCTTGTGTCATGAAGATGACAGTGTCCTATCAGGAGGGGATATATTACACTAAGGGGGCATAGACATAGTGACATCAGTAGAGAACTCGCCCAGCACACAGAAAGTACCAGGTTAAAGCCAAACCAATCCCAGCTACCAGGTGCTGAGGAGCACTCCTGAAAAGCCCACTAGACTTTGGAGGACAAGAATATCAAGGTCATGATCATCTTCAGCAACTGAGCCAGTTTAATCTGAGCCACATGAGACCCTGCTTCTGAGAACTTACAGGAAACCTCATAGCCAAGAATGAAAATTCTTTTTTAATTTTTTATATTAATTTCAGTTTATTTACTTTGTATCCCAGCTATAGCACCCTCTCTCATCTCCTTCCATGCCCCTTTCAAAGTACCCTAATAGAAGAGGTCCTCCTTTCCTTCCATCTGACCCTAGCCTATCAGGTCTCATCAGGACTGGCTGCCTTGTCTTCCTCTGTGGCCTGGTCAGGCTGCTCCCCCCTCAGGGGGAGGTGATTAAAGAGCCAGCCACTGAGTTCATGTCAGAGACAGTCCATGTTCCCAAGAAAATTCTTTAGTATCATTGTGAAAAAAGCAAGATGACCAGCCTCTGATTTCTGGCTGGCTTATAGAATCTGTAACTGAGTTGGGTCAAGGCATCACTATCACAGCAATGTTCAAGGATGGTTTTTACAACTGCAGCATCTTAAATACTGACAATCACAAGTCACAAAATGGTATTTGCAAGGGATGTAACTTGATGGGCATGTTAGCACATACATGTAATCCTAGTACTTGGGAGGCTGAGGGAGGAGGATCTGGAGGCCAGCCTGGAGTACAAACTGAGTTCCAGGCCATCCCCAGTTATGGATGAAGAACTTGCCAAAACACAAGACAGACATCCTTAGGACATGTAGACAGTCAGGCAGACAGAGAGACAGACGGACAAGAAGAAAAAAGGAAAGAAAGAAAGGAAGTATGAGTGACAAAATGCACAAGAGAGAAAGAAAGAAATGGAAAACTTAAGAGAAAGAAAGGAAGAAAGAAAGAGAGACAAAATAAATTCAATTCATCTAAATGATACAACATCTACATCTCTACTTCTTAAATAGAGTCTTCAGGGCCAGTTCTGGTAACAAGGATGAGACATTTGTGATTTTACTAATGTACAATGAGTTCCCTGATTTCATATGGGATGTCTACATTCCTCAAGTAGTTTGAAAACTCTGAAATGTAGCTTCTAAATGTCAACAATAATAGTTGTTTGGAAGAATACTTTTGTGTTGTCTCAGTTACTTTCTGTTGGTGTGAAGACACCACTACCAAGGCAGCTCCTCGAAGAGCTTACCTGAGGCCTACAGTTTCAAAGAGTAGGTAGGGGCCATGGCCACGATGGTAGGTGCATGGCAGCAGAAAGGCAGGTATGGCCTTTGACCAGGTGCTGAAAGATTAAAACTTTAGGCACAATCATGAAGCAACTGAGGATGGTATGGCAAGGGCCTTTGAAGCCTCAAAGCCCAGCCTCAGTGACACATATCCTCCAACAAGGCCACACTTCCTAACCCTTTCCAAACAGATTTAGCAACTGAGGATCAAGTATTTAAACATATGAATCTAATGAGGCCATTCTTATTCATGCTAACTTGTACTTGTACAGCCTGAGATAGGAAACCATCCTTTCTGTTTTGGTGATATCTTCACTTTCCATCTCATCTATAACAACTGATATACAGGCAAATAAAAGATTCACTCTGGAAGTAACTGAGTCACAGAATGGTGTCACAACGCCAATGAGAATCTATTTTGAGACTTGGGTCCTGCTGACTTCAAAACAATGATTAGAGGAATGAACTGCTGTGCTGAAATGAGACCTTGGTAAGAGTGCTCAGAGTGCTTCCAAGTGGCAAAGACAGTCTTAAACAAGCCCACACAGCAAAGCAATTCTTTCTAGATCCGCAATGGCTATTTATCTAATCAACACTCCTCCTAGTCATAAAGACTGGACTTTCTTATGCTCTTCATAAGGCAGTGAACTTGAGGAGAAATTCTTGAATTAATTAAATGTGTGGACAAGGGTGAGGAAGATTTCGAGGGACAGTCAGATGCTGCTATGATGAGGGTCTCTAGACCCTATGGAAATTCCCCGGCCAAGGAATGTGCAGAGAAGATACGGCAATGACAATGCATGCTGTGATGGGAACTCTACAGGAGTGAGGTACCTACCTGGGCTGAGCAGATACTCTAATGGACGACTAGTGGATGAACGGGAAAGGAGGACAAAGAGCACAAAGGTCTCCCACACAGTTTTGTAATCCAGGAAAAGGCTGTGCAGGTTGATGTTGTTGGCAGAGAATAAACTGTGGCAAAGGAAGGGGACAGAGGCAGAAAGCAAGGTGGGTTGAGCAGCTGTAGGAAAGGGAGTGTCAAACCAGTAGGTGGCAGGAATGCAGAGAGCACCTTAGAATCCCAGGTGGGGAGAAAAAGGGTACCTGGAAGAAGTATGACAGGATACCAGGCTTCACAATAGGTGGAAAGAGAGTCTATAGGTTAATGGTTGGGGAAAAGGACACAGAAGCAACAAGGAAGAATGTTATCAGGGAATTCCACTACAACTGGCTCAGCAAGAAACTCAGAGCCCTCTCATGTCCCTCTCAGAAGTTTTTATTTGTTTGTTTGTTTTTCTGGATCATATGAAAAAACCAAGAATGATGTAAATTGTCTCTTAGTCATTTCACTTCTGCTGCTCTGATAAAACACCAAAAGTGATAGTAACTCCGGAGTGAAAAGTTTTTATTTGGTGTACAGCTCCAGGTTTCCATCCCTTAAAGGCAGGAAATTCAAAGCATCTCACCTACAGTCAAGAGCACACAGAGAATAAGCACAGGGATCCTTGTGGCTTGCTTGCTTGCTATACTTGACTTTCTTTTACACATTCCAGATGCCTTGCCCAGGGAGTGGCACCACCTGCAATGGGTTGGGTCTTTTTACATTCACTAACAATAAAGATTGTTAGTGAACAATCTGTAACCCCTACAGAGATACCACAACATTATTTCAATAATTTCTCAGAAAGACTATTTGAAAGTCAATGAATTGAACTGCAAAAGAATTATACTGAGCAAGGTCACCCCACTCCCTAAGGACAAGTGCCACATGATTTCTCTCAGATGTAGGTCTTAGCTTCAAAATTTTTGTTTTGTATGCTTATCCTGGAGTCAATGTGAAAACTAAGAAACAAGAAAGAGGCTATCAGGTTGGGGAAGTTGGCATAAATGGATGGGAAATAGTAGAACACTAGTAAAATCAAAGTAGAGAGCAGAAATCCTAGTGTCATGAAGCTTCAAGCAGTCTGTAGAGTGATGGAACGGGGAACGGAGGGCTCAGGGCAAGGGTTAACCAAGATGAGTTGGGCAGAAAGAAGCTCCCAGAGAACCTATGATCTTACACCCCAAGTAAAATATATAATAGGAGGAGGCAGTGGAACACATGTGATGAGTAAGAAAGTGAGGGGGATACCGGGGGATTAAAAGTTTAAGCGGAAATGGGGAAAGGGAGTAGGGTAAAGAAAGTGGAATTTTCTAAAAGGGAGGCTAAACAGGGACACTGCATGTGGGTGAACAGAATTTTCCCCAGAAGCCATAGGTCATTAAACAAAAATCTCAGCAATGGACATGTTACCTCCCTATGGCCAGGGCAGCCCCAGAGGTGACCAGAACAATACAGGCTATTGCCACTGCTCCAAACCCTGTAGATGAGACACTATACACTTTTGTTGCTGGGCCTAGGGAAATCAGTCTTGAATGCAGCAGGAAACTCTTCCAGTTGGTTAATGTTCATAGGACATAGAAGGTGTTATGCTGGCTGTCATGAGAGACCAAGGCACGAGTGTTCCTACCCATAGATGGACCCTATACCATCTATACCATAGATGGTATAATAGTGGCCTGCTAGGCACGAGGAGCCAACTGGTGCCATAGTGGCAATGCTGTTCCCAGGGATAATCAGATGTTCTCCTGATTGGGTCTGAGGTCAGAATGTAAGAGCCAGATTACAGGCAGGAGCACTGTGAAATCCTGTCCCCTGGTGATGGCATGGCTGATGCACATGTGAACTCACAGTAGCTCTGGCTCCCTGCACAAGACCTGGACAAGATAAAGCCAGGGCAGAGTCTTGGGGGAGGGCAGGAGTTGTGACCTTACCTTTAACTAGGGAACTTTTGGCAGCCGACTTTTGCTGGAGAGGAAGAGTCACTTCTCTCTGGTAGATGGCCCTTGGTCAGTTACCTGTGACCCAGGGGATGACCCCCACGGGTCTTGATTTGCACTAACTGAACAGAAGGGATTAAATAGGACCATACATATATAATAGAAAGGAGGGTATAAAGATTGAAAGGGTATGTGTTGGGAGGGTATGTATCCAGGATAGAGTTTCAGGGAGAGGTTACAGGTGAATACGATCAAGACATATGGCATCCACACACTTCAAATAATACAAAGTAGGTTTGTGTGTATGTGTGTGTTTGTTTTTGTTTTGTTTTGTTTTGTTTTGTTTTTTGAGACAGGGTTTCCCTGTGTAGCCTTGACTGTTTGGACTCGATTTGTAGACCAGGCTGGCCGTGAACTCACAGTAATCCCCTGCCTCTGCTTCCCAGAATGCTGGTATTACAGGAGTGTGCCACCAAGCCCAGCTACAAAATAGTATTAAAAAGAGACTCTCCCCTCAGGTTCTTCCATGTCCTGTCAGTCTACAGTTAAGCTAACCTGCACAGACCACAAACTGCCAGTACCAGAAAGAGAGAGAGGGAGGGAGAGAGAGAACAGCTTACCAAACATTCCATCAGACACCTGAATTTACTCTGCTGAACACAGTGGTCTGACAAAGAGCTATAGTCCCAACAGCTGGGGAGAATCAAGGCTACACAGAATTCTAGTTGAAATATAGGCCAGGCCCTTAACATGATTTTCTCATTAGTCTTATTGTTCTTTCTTCCTTGGAACTTGTGCATAAAAATGTCAACTAGTTCCTTGTGATCAATAGCAGAGCAGAGGTCTGGGTTTGTGCTAGAAATCTACACACTTTCCTTACACTCTCCATGTTTTGTTTTACTCAGTCATCAGGAAAACCCTGTGAAGCCATTGTTCTTTAGCAGGCATACAGACAATTACAGGCTTTTGGTCTTTGCCTTTGGACTACCACTCTCTGGTGAAGAGAACAGACTTGTATGCACAGGTCTAAGGGTGCTAACCTTGAAAAGAAAGGCCAGCGTTCATACATGTGGGACTATATACAACAGCAAATTCTGTGGGTCAAGAGCACCGAGTGTTTGATTGAAGTACATCTAGGACCTAGAGTCTAGGTACATTTTCTCCAAAACCTACCTGTGTTCCTGTCCCAGAGGAAGGAACGGCACATGTTGATAAGCCTCTTATCTCTTGATCAAGAAAGGTAAAAGCACTTACCCATTGCCTGATGAGGTATGTCCAGAAAACCTTTGCAATGCTCCCTCCTCATTAAGTTATGCTACCATGCAAACCACACTGTGCTACCCCATCTAGTTATTAGAGTGAAGACTGCTGAAGCTGAGATGCCAGCTCTTCAGTGCAGACATCACTAATGCTTTCCAAAGTGCTTTTACACAACCCCAGTTTGCTTTCAGTTTTTCCAGCAAGGATCAAGAAGAAAGCTCCAGCTAGTTCGTGCCCTGCTGCTCTGTTGTTCGTTTATTTCTGTCCTAACCGTAGAAGGTGGGGTACCGTTTTTCCTCCCTGTTTGCATGTGGAGACATTTCTGGAACCCAGTTCCTCCCACCTGCTCCTAGGAAAGTCTCCTTGTTGACCCTACTCTGTGCTTATGTTGCACAGTAAAACCATGCTGAAGCAATCCTTAAAATCCTGCTCTGGCTCCAAAGCCACTGCAGCCAGAGAGGAGACTTCCATGATTGCATCTGGGACAGCTCTCTTGCCATTGTGGGGATGGAAATGAATGCCTCCATGTGGGCAACGAGTCAGAAGGAGAGGCTATGTGGCCATAGTTCCTACCTCTATAGCGTGAGGGTCCTGGAAGGCCTGGCCCTTCTTACTCCTCTTCGAACAATGGGAGTGGTGGTTGTCTTCCTCATTGTCATCTCTCCTCCTTTTCCTGAAAACAGTTTTCAAAGGGAGAGGAAAAGCTGTCATTCAGCATCTTTTGGATGCTTAACTTGAAGCCCCGGGCCAATACCTAAATCCAGGATCTTATCTAGGAAAGCACCAGGCAGCGTTGCTTTGATGGCTCCTGCAGGCAGATGGCACTAGGCAGTGGAGAAAACACACCAAACAGGAGCTCTGGCTACACCTAAAACCCAATTTCAAGTTCCCCAAATCATCATCTCATTTCCAACCTATAATTTGTCACTAGAAACATATAGAATTTTATCATCAAAATTTAAAACTCTACCTAACTAGACCCATTGTCTTCACCCACTGAAATGACAGTTCAGGATTATACGGATTTAAGCCCTGCCACGGGGCAACTCTCAATATATCTGCAGCTTCTAGTGCCTATTTCCTCTTATGTCCCTTTGGCCCATGGCTAAGAATACTGAACAGATAATTTTTGTGTACTGTCAGGTCATTCCTGTCGCTATAACATGAAATATTATGCCCCTGTAGCTAGTTCACTTTACTGCCAATATGACACCATGGCTGATTACTCCCTTGAAACCTTATCTCAAAAGTGTTTCAATGAAACAGATCTAGTTATACATGCCTATATTCCCTGACCCAGGGAGGCTATGGCTTGAAGATCTGTATTTCCACTGCTACCTAGGCTACATTATGAGTTCTAAGTCACCCTGAGCTGTTATATAGTTTCAGAAAAAGAGTCACAACTACGTTTTCCATCAATTATTTTATTGTGTTGTTTGCCATTATAATTCATACCTTTCTGTTTTCTTTTATTTTTAGGATTTCACTCTGATGCCCAATTTGTTATCAAATTCATTATTATGACTTGGCTACTATTGAACTTGCTGTTATTCTCTTTCTTGAAGTTCAAGAGTACTGGAATACTTCCCTGATCTTAAAATTAGTGCACAGATCCTATAGTTCATTAGAGAGACATGCTTCTTAACTGCTTAATTAGAAACTATATTTAAGTGTTTGGTATTCCTTAAGATTGTGAATTCTACTGATTTCCATTATTTCTTTAGCCTTCAATCTTATGCTCATCTTTGTGAGACTCAGAGTGCTATCATACTCCCTTTACAACACCTTCTCCAGAGTCTCTTTCTTATTAGCACAAGCAGTGTGTAATATAAAATTAAGGCCTACTAAGAACACAGGACTTTTAAGCACATCCCTCCTTGGATCTACTTTTCCTATGTCAAGTGCTAACCTCTTAAAACTGGGGAAACAGCCTACAAATATGAAGTGACTCGATAAAAAGAATGGCAAAGGTGGCTAGAAGGGAAGTTCTCATGGACTTATTCAGTCCCCTCTTCTACAGGATGGAAAAAAAAATCAGTGCACAGTTGAATAGTTCATCAAAGAGTTTCTTTATGGCAAAGAAGTTGAGAGTATAGTTAAAGTTATATTTTCTGTACACAGTGCTATTTTAAAAAATTCTCAGAAGTAAATACAAGGCTTTTTTTTCTAGGTATTTCAGGTATGCCAAAGCAAAATCAGAACTGAGTAGCTGGTCTTAGGGAATACGGAGTATTGCAATAAGACTAGCTGTCCTTCAAACACAGTTTCCCTTCAAATAATTGTTTTTTTTTTTTTATTATATTTACAATGGTATTTTAGTAGTTTGGTCCCTAACTTCATATATAGTATATCCTTCTGACCCCTTCCTCCTACCTCATTTCATGATTCTAATCACTAACAACTTAAGCTGACTCCACATTTGTTTTTGTTTTTCACTCTTTTGTTTTTTATTTATTTATTTTTATTAATTACAGTTTATTCACTTTGTATCCCCCCTTATGACTCACATTTTAATCCTGAGATGCTTTCTAAAATCTTAATTGCTATGAATTTACTATGATCCAGGACAGTGTTCATGCAGCAAGATAGCAAATATACTGAGAGCCAATGAAAACAACACATGAAGCAACAATAACAGGTCCACCATACTACTCAAATAAGTTCTGTGCTGTAGAGCATTTACTTAATCCTCATAAAATGAAGGAAAACACTTTGACCCTGGGAAGATCAGGGCTCTGTTTGTTACCAGCCATCTAAATGTTTTCCCCTTGAGTGAACTAAAACTAGCCTGAAGCAAATAAGATTGATTTCCAAGACAAAAAAATAAATTTTATAAAATACTAAGCAGAATAAATTATATAGAAAATTGTTATCACACAACGCTTTGAGAACATTGGTACACATACACCTAAGAAAAGAGACTGAAAATGCAAATGTTTTATTTTAAAACACACATTGAGCACAAACTAGAGTAAAGATATTCCTCTGGGTACTGGGTTAAGATTCAGCATAGATCTCAGTTCTTGCCCTTCCAAGACTGCATGATGATGGTATATTGATAGCTTCTGAAATGTGGAAAAATTAATGTGATATAAAAAACACATTAAAATAAGATATTTATGAGTACCTCAGTAATGATTATTTCTCTCATTATTGTCTGTGCATTCCAAATTTACACTAGAAGTTATTTACTAGGCTAGCAAGATGGCTCAGTGGGAAAAACTGCCTGCCTCCAAGCCTGTAGAACTCAGTTCAATTCCCAGGACCCATATGGTGGTAGAAAAAAAAAAAAAAACAATTCCCAAAAGTTGTTCTCTGATTTACACATGGTATTCCACATGCATTCCTGGTTCCAACAGACACCAGAAGAGGGCACTGGATCTCCTGGCACTGGAGTTAAGATGGCTGTGAGCAGTCCTGTAGGTATTGAAAACCAAACCTGGGTCCTCTGGAACAGAAGACAGTGCTCTTAACCAAAGAGCTATCTCTCCAGCCCCATTTATAGAAATAACTTTGACTTTTAAAGAAAGACAATGAGCCAGGCAGTGGTGGCACATGCCTTTAATCCAGAACTTTAGGGGGCAGAGGCAGGCAGATCTCTGTGAGTTTGATGTCTGCTTGGTCTACAAAGTGAGTCCAGGACAGCCAGGGCTACACAGAGAAATCCTGTCTTGAAAAAAAGGAGAAAGAGAGAGAGAGAGAGAGAAACAAACAAAGAAAAGAAAGAAAATGAGTGCATGCAGAGATCTCCTTGGCAGATTAAGCAAGTAGAGGTCAGCCCTCTCCACCTGAATGTGGAGTCAGGTTGCCAGAAGAGAGAAGACAAAGAAAGTAAGCAGACTTAAAACAGCCAGCAGACTTTTTTTTTTTTTTTGTAAATTGTAATAACATACACATGCCCACAAGAAAGTGGAAAGAAAAGCCATTTAAGAACCTGTAAATATGGGGCTGGAGAGATGGCTCAGCAGTTAAGAGCACTAGCTACTCCACCAAAGGACTGGGGTTCAATCCCTAGAACCCACACAGCTGCTCACAACTGTTTGTAACTCCAGTTCTAGGGTATCAAACACTCTCACACAGACATACATGCAGGCCAAAAACTAATGAACACAAAATAAAAAAAAGTACATTTAAAATTAAGAAACTGCAAATACTACATTTTTATGAAACACCATATGCAAAACCAAAATTAACCAGAAGAAATGCTCTGTATTCAACAGATGCTGGTGTTGAGGACAGGCCTTTAGAAATTGTTCTGTGGGAGAGACATTGTTCTGCTGGTAGGGGGGAGGGCATAACTTGTAAAGCTCCTAGGGAAAATTCTTTGTTGTTTAACATTTACATAAGAATTCAAGGGTTACTTCTGTTTTCCAAATCGGTTCTGAAGGAACCTTGTCACACTTGTAGCTCATTACTAGGATAAACCTATCTTAGGCTAGCTGGATATGTGGGGTTTTAAGGTAATTTACAGTAACTGTACAGTTAATGGGACTCCGAGATAATTCCATGTTTTTTTTAATATATGTGCAAATACAGATTTCAGTATGCTTTACATGTGCCTGTATGGATGAGAAAAACTCTGAAGCAAGAATCACAAAATGGAATTAATGGTGATCACTGGGTGATGGTATTGTGAGTAAAATTGTTTTCATTAATACTCCCAGAAAATCTCAAGATTGCAGTGAAATAAAAATCTATACCGGAAGAACATATTTGCAGAGGTGCATAATCTTCAAGGCCAAAAGGGAAAAAGAAGCCATTCCTAGGCTGCCCCATTAAAGTAAGGCCAACTTGAAAAGAAAAGGGCTTTGTCCAAGAGGCAGGGAGTTGTTGGGAGGGAATCTCAGAAGTTGGTACCTTAATCTTCAGCTCCAACACAGCAATTTTAGAAAGAGGCTCTGCAGCCAGGATTTTTTCCCCCCACACAAGAATGGAGGGGTAAAGTGTTGACAGGACCACTGCATTGGGAAATACTGCCATCTAAGGGTCGGCAAATTGTATAAGGTGTAAGTATCCACACCAGAGAAAAGTCCATTTTCTCCGGGAATTTTCTATTGCTGGCCAATTAAATAAAGATGAAAAAAGCCAACCTACTGAGATGACTGACCAGACAGACCACACAGGGAATTCACACCTGCCCAAGTAGTTAAGCGGTCTACAACAACAAAGGAAGCCCTCGTTAGTTACCTTTGCAAAACTATAGCAACAAGAGAAAGTTCCTACCACATTGGAAAGCTGCTGCTCCTCTTGGTATAGTACTCGTGAATTCGAAGCCTGTTTGCTCACAAGTGTCCTGAGAGACCTTGCCAGTCTCCCCTCCAGAAGCAGGACTGCACTTTCCTTCCAGTGTTGTAGTTCTCTGCTGCCCAAGGGATACAACCGCTGATGTAGAATAGGACTGCTGATAAGTGCCCTGCGTGCCACGTGAAGGATGCGTGCCAGTCCCTGACGCACTCTCCCACTGGGCCCAGCCTTTGATTCTGCTTCTTACTTGGCTGTACTCACTATCTTCCTTTCAGTCCTAATCTCTTCTAATCCTAAATGCCCAATTCATCTCCCATGACACAATGCAGTTGGCCAACGGAACCTTTCTTCCTGGGGACCCTTCTCTTCTTCTCCAAAATCTCCTACTGGTGGTCATGCCCTGGGAAGCACAGAAGGCAGTGCCCTTCT